AATAGAACACGTAGCTAGGAGTGCTCGCAGTCACTGTGTCCTCAGCAAAGGTGTACCCGGGTGATCAAGCCGGGTATTGTCCTATCGAAGAGGGGTTAGCGACGACGAGCGATAACGGATTACTCACGAAACACTCTCAAAAATATGTGACGCGGGCAAAGCCGAATAAGGCTAAGGTGCGTTCACACGGTAAGATTCTCGAGCGGCACAACAAGAGAGAGTTCACGTCTCGATTGAGCAACTCGAGGTAAGATACGAAACCAAAAGGTGAGGCCCTCGCGACGAGGCTGCTTGTCTTTTATACCTCGTCGCGAGCCCTTGAGCATATGGAAGTGGAGCAAAAGGATCAAACAGTCAAAAGGCGCATCAGCGCCGGATGCTAGAAAAGGAAAGAAGTTCTCGGTCTCAGCCTTCGGCCGAACCGGCACGTAACAATTACTCCCACGCCACCCTCACCCTTGTCAGTTCCTCCAGGTTCTCCGGACGGTGTAGCGTACGGACCTCCTTCAAGGTTAGCCTGTTTTCTATGCCGAATCTCTGCTGGTTGGCTTTATACGCATTGCGTTTGGGCGTCTTGCAAGATGGATGACCGGATCGCCAAAGCTGGACGATGGATGGATCATAGTCCGTTCGGATGACGCTGGCTTACCAGATTGCGCCGTTCGGTTTGACAACCACTGGTTGCCGTTGTCCGAAGGCTGCTTTCTTCTCGTCCGAGACACCCTCTTTGATCTCGGTGCTTATCTCTTGACTGGTAGACAAAATGGCCACAACGAAGAGCGCGAAGGCAGGCAAGGGCAAGGCGGCGGCTAAGAGTGCGCACTCTACCGTACAACCCGAGCGTTTCGAACTAAAATTTTGTGCAGCATCCGCGAAGGACTCCAAGGCTAAGGCCGCTAAGAAGGCGGCGCTCCAGGGCACCCATGCGCATGCAGCCCGTAAGGTCCGCAACAGCGTCTCCTTCCACCGCCCCAAGACCCTCCGCCTCCCCCGCGACCCGAAATACCCCCGGAAGTCGATCCCCCATGTCCCGCGCATGGATCAGTTCCGGACAATCGTCTCGTGCGTGGTTATTATATTGTTCGAAAATGATACTGATACACGACGCAACAGGCCGCTGAACACTGAGTCAGCGATGAAGAAAATTGAGGAGCACAACACCCTGGTCTTCATCGTCGACATCCGATCGAACAAGCGCCAGATCAAGGATGCCGTCAAGAAGCTTTACGATGTTAACGCGGCGAAGATCAACACCCTCATTCGGTACGCCTTCTGTTGATCACCATGAAGACAGGAACTGACCACGTTGACAGTCCTGATGGCAAGAAAAAGGCATACGTACGGTTGACAGCCGACCATGACGCGCTGGACGTGGCGAACAAGGTGTGCTGTCCCTTTATCTTGCCATACTACATCCGTCAGTTTGACTGACTCTCCCAATAGATTGGTTTCATCTAAGTCTCTCGGCGTTCATCTCGGCATTCCTTCTGCTCTCTCGCTGCACGTACTGTATGTCTATGCATCATTCCCGCAATCTTATGCAATGCAAGGCAATCGGTACCATCGCAATGTCGCAAGCATGCATGATACCCCATTCAGTTCAGACAGAAGCTTCAGGCCGCGGAACCCATATGCCCCGGCACCCCGTTGCTATGGTGTCGCAGTCTGCGTGTTGAAAGACATCATCGCATGCACATACCAATGTCACTAGCACTCGTGAGCCACTGAGAATGCGGTTTGCATTCCGCGTTGTCATAGTTCAGTGCATAGGCGATGACAGCCGTGAGCTTCGCTTTCGGTGGCAGAGTCGAGTCACGACTGCTACAGCTTTGATTGACACCTTCCTACCACTCTCCCCTACCTACCTACCCTACCTAGTAACCTACCCCTACAGGCTACTTACCTGAAGTCGTCCACGTTATGCACGATTTCCGATTGGCCTGAAGCTTGATCGCTTGCATGCGCGGATGCGGCGGATTCTGGAAAGAAGCCGTTCGACTGTCTCTCAATCGATACGTCCATCGTTCCAGCAGTAGGCTACGTGAACGCGGTGCCAGATCAGCCGTGAGCATGTATCATTGGATCTCAATTTGGCTCACGGTGTCTCTTTGCCTGGTCGTGTGCTGGCAAACACGTTACTGTTATGAATACCGAGCCTCGTGGTTGAACGGTCTCGTCTTCCATATCAACTGCTTTCACTAGTATCGTCCTCTATCTGACAGTCACTATGATGCACGCGGCGGAGTACCCAGGCGGCTTGCGATCTCCAAGGTCTTTCCGGTGATGGTGGTGACTCTGGTGAGCAATGCATGACTTCATCGATCCCTTACGAAGCACAAGTTGCCCAGCGTACGACAGTCCAAGCGTCCGCACATGGTCTCGCGTTCCCATACGATCCAGCCACGAGGAGGACAGCACAGTATGTTTTTGGGCTGCTCATCATGGTTTCAAGTCGGGCCGGAGAGGATGCGTGCAGGGTTGACTTCAAGGCCCGCGCTATCGCATTCGCACGTCCATCCATGGCGTGCCCTCGTCGTGACCGCCAAACTCTCTGAGCCTCAATTCCCGTCCAGAGCGACCTGCAAGACCTGCAGGTCAACGCGTGTCAGCCGTGTGCACCCGGGATGCCCCTAATCTCCGTTCACTCGGGCGTTCTCCCTCGCTCAGCTGATCAACTAACTACAGTAGCATTGCGGGATCGCCATAGTCGAAGGACAAGCTTGCCGAAAGAAAGCAGGGTTCGCATTTGAATGGGATCATCGGGCAAGTGAGGGTACTTCTACATCCTCCAGACAAGCTACTGCTACAAAGCGTAGGTGTACAGAAGGCTAAAGGTACGAGCGAGTATAGTCACGCCGCCTGGCTGGAGCGACGCGAGGGCAGTACACGAAGTAGGCAAGGAAGGGGGGTATTACAAGAAGTATCGAGCTTCCAGTCGAGCGGCAGAGCAACAACAGCAACGGAACCAGGCTCGGTTGGCCGTGCGCAGTACGCAGGAGTCAACAGCGCTGGCGAGGATATATCAACGGCGATGGACCGACGTCTCGGCCCCACGCCAGCGCCGGGCGCTGCCATCTAGGCGGACATCGCGGTCTATGCCGGATACCTCAGCTAGTGCTGAACATCTCGGAGCGTAGCCGTGTTGAAAGGCGCGCCGGCGCGTCGACAAGAACGGCGCCGGGCCCTGAATCGGGAGAGGCGACAATACGATGTACCTGTCGTGGTACAGCGCCATCGACGGCGGTGTTACAGAATGAGAAGGGGTTCGTGACATGCAAAGGGTCCGTGAATGACTGTATCCAGCGAGGGTATGATGAATGCGTGCAGGGGTTGTACAACTGACCAAACATAGAGTGAGCATACAGGATAAATCAACGGATAGACAAGAATCAAACGCACCTTGAGAGTAGGGAATGCTCCGAACCGGGGCAGCGCAAAACAAGTAAACAGCGATAACAAAAGCGATAGCATAAACCCATAACATAATCGCTCTCACTCGGCGGGGAGGGCCGACTCCAGTGAGAGGATATAATATCCGAGCTCGGGGTTGATGGGCTGTAACATTCCGAAGAACCACGTCCTGTCGCCGAGCACGTCCACCCTCCGGTATCCCTTGCTCTTCTCGTATTCTGTCAGGCGCACAGAGCGTTTGCAACGCCGCCTGAAGGCATGATCGACCCGATCGTGAACGGCGCGGTCGCGCTTGATCTCCGCGATCTCCGCCTCGGTCAATGGCACCTGAAACGTTTCGTAGATCGCGTTGAAGATATCTTCGCAGGTGACGCCACCGGAGCTGCTCGCGCGCGCATGGATCGGCCAGTGCAGGTATTTGTCGAGCACTAGCGTGAGCGCGGACACGGATTGTCCCCGACAAGCCGGCTTGCGCAGCTCGTCATCGCGAATTGTCCGAGCAGGCATGTGCAGGCCAGGACGCATCATGATCCTGCTGGGCGGGTTGACGATGTCGAACTCGAGGCGCGGCTTCCCGTTCCTTGAGTGCCAGGGGAGCAGCTGCCAGTGCAGCGGCAGCGTCACCATATTGAACGAGGGCGTGGCTGTGTTGCATTTAATCTTAAGTCTCTTCGCTGGATCTCTGCGATGAAACGGGATCTCGCTTTACCTGGCTCGTTCGACATGCGCCTGGACCTCGTATGGGGCGTCGGCACCGAGTACGTGGAGGGCATCGACGATGCTACCGACGGCTGGCGGTCGGGTCGGGTCGACGCAGGCCTTGGGGGCGACGATCGGCGGCGCGGCATGGGGGTGCGGAACCCTTCGGCGTCAGAGTGGGCGTAATCGTCGCTGTCGTATCGACGGTGGTGTCGCGAGTTCTTCAGGATCGGCCTCATCCTGGTCGGAGCAGGGGTGGCAGGGGTCCGCGGAGCTGGGGTGGGGGGCGCTGGGCTGTTGAGGGGGCTTTCCAGGAGTTGCTTGTGAGGAGCGGCCATGCGGGGAGTAGGGGCATGTATGGTGTGACTCTTCGGGGCCGGGGAGGGTGGGACGATGATCTTCGAGGGGGGCAGGCGGGGTGTCGGCGCGATGATAGGCGGGGAGGCGACGACGGTCGGCGATGAGAGGAGGCTGAAGGACGGGGACGGGGCTCTGGGGGTGGCGGGCTTGAGGATCCCACGTTTAAATGGGTTGAAGGACGCTGGTGAGGGAGTCGGGCCGAGCTCGAGAGTTTTCATCTTAGGTGTGGCCGGGGTCGGGGACCCAGGAGCATGTTTCTTCTTCCACATCTTGTCGTAAGAGTCGTACGGCGGAGGAGGCGATCGTGAGCGACTGTCCCTGTCGGAGAGGGAGGAGAGGGAGGGCGATCGGGAGCCGGGGCCAGCTGGGGCACACTGGCATAAGAAGAGGGTAATAAGCATGCGGCGATAGGCGAGTCTGATTCGGGACGTGGACGGTGGTGGTATATGAAGCGATTGGCTGTTTACCTGGATCAGAAGCGTGTCCGGGCGCGGTCTATGAGCACGAGCTGGTCATTCAAAGCGTGCTGGGCGCCATGGGGGCAAGCCCCACCCGAAGCGAAGTAAGACGGAGAGGAGAGAGAGCCGCGAGGGATGCGGGTGGGAGCACGGAGAAAAGAATGTGAGGGGTCGGAACACCATGCACAACACGAGGCAGATCGGTGTCCAACTCGTGGCGGGGCGCGTCATCACGTGCGACAGCGCCTGGCGATACGATGCAGACTATACATTGCGGTCCGTTGGCGTTGCCGGCGACGCTGGCTGGACGAGACGCGGTCGAGGGAAACGAGCGTATTCCTTGCGCGGGCTGGTCCCAGTTCCGTAACGGGCTCACATCCGCTCTCTTGGCCTGCTCTTGCCCAACTCGTCTTTACCCGTGAATCGCGGACGTTCTATCGGTTTGCCTATGACATGGCCACCAAGAAAATAGCAGCAGGCAGGCAGCTAAACTTGAATATCGCCGCGAGATAGCGTTCAGACAGCAGGAGGCAAGAGCCAACGGTCGTCCGCTGTGCCCCCCTCCTGAAGCTGTATCACGATCACGTGGGAAACACCGCCTCTTCGCAGCGCGTCCATTGTTCGCCACCGTCTCCTTCCGTCTTTCACTGAAGGCGCCTAGATCACATCTATTCCCAGTCGGCAACCAACGCTCAGATAACGGTTCTTTCTTGCACGATGGGTAAATCTTGCAGCCCCATTAGCCTGCTTCTTGGAGTTTCACAGCTTTAGCATGATCTGGTCACATTCTGATCTCCACTCAACAGGCTGATTTCTACATCCTCCCTGCTGGCGGATTACCCGTCCTTCTCGCAAGCAGCGGAGTTAAATCAGCGCTTGTTGGAGCGGGTATCACCCCACGGCACCAAATCATCATGTTCCCATTGGCATCGTGTACGTATAGGCGGCCGGAGCATCTACCCGGACTCCATTATTTTCCTCTCCGGACTGACATGGAAGTCGCTTTTACATGGGGCACGAATCGGTCTCCTAATCTCAAGAAAACGCGTCGCCTTTTTGCCTTCTGGTTCTACGCCACATGAAGGCTGCTGCGACCTTGTCGGAGCGATGGCGGAGCCATTATTCCGCTCCTCCAAATAATCACAGCCCGGGAATGCTTGCGCCAAGGTCCAGGCCCATGATATCTTCTATGTCAGGAACGTAGATGCTATGCCCAATGCACGGGCCTCGCCATCGGGCCTACAGCTGCGCCTCGTAACCCTACGACAGAAAATCAAGGTTCAAGCATCTCGAAGATTCGGCCGTCGGGTATTGGGGTGCATGCATATACCGCCACGCCGGTATCAAACATCGCAGCCGGGGTCGGTGCCCCGTCCGGTGCGGGGAACGGCGTATCAGATCTTCGCTCGCTATCTCACCTCATAGACGCCCGTGGATCTCACCGCCGACGATTCACGATATCTCGGGGTCCCTGGGAAGCCCGTGCTCCCATCCAGCGATGCCGGCATGCTGGATTGCCTTCGCGTCCCCTTGTCGATGCAAGGGGGCATCTTGTAATTCGACCGACGCGGGTGCTTCCTTCAGTGCCTGCTGCGTCGCTCCTTCTGCAGGGCGAATTCAACCTGCACTTTAATGTACGAACAACCCATGTTTCTACGCTGTTGTCGTTAGCGCTTGCAGTCGACGGTATCTCAAGGTTATCGGAGTTCTACAAGTGCATGCACATCAGAAGTATCTCCGCATGTGCCCGCTAGCTTACGAGTCAGAGCTTCTTTCCTCGTCTGATGGCCAACCCCGAAGAGCGCGCTACTACAGGGCGAATCTATACACCCGCGACGCTTGCAGTTTGGCGCAGGCGCGTTGCATGAGAGCTCCGATGACGGTGCGGCCCTGCTACGGTACTCGGTAACGTGTTCACTCCGGCCACAGCACTCGTCGGAATAGGCTTTGCTGGACTCATCCACGCATCGGAGCTACAAACTTGGTTCATACCGCGCCAACGTTGGCGCAAATTGTATGGTATGGGAACGCACCGAGCCACGGAGAGTGGAGTGTTTACCGATTCGCAAACGTTCGATTCAGGCTTGGCGTCATCCTCCTGCAGCTGGAGTCCCGATACGCGGCCCGACGCGCGAACCGTGTCGCCGACGATTCGCAGGCACAGGTACGCTGGCGCGAGTGTATTCAGCCCGAAGCTGATGGGCGGTGCGTTTGCATTCGCGTTCAAATCGAGCGTCCGTAGCTTCGGCCCTTCTAAGAGCCTCAAGAGACGCTCAAAGTCTAACCTTCGAACGAGGCCACATGGTCGCGATAATTCTGGTGACTACACAATGGATAACCTGGGACTGGACGCAATAGACCCGGCGTGTGTTCTGACGCACGTCTGCAGTTGTGGCACCGGTTGCAGGCTTGGCACAACGTCTCAGTCCCATTTGCTCATTTGCATACAATATGTGGGCACTGATCTTATCAGAATAGCGACGGTCCTGAATTCTCTTCTGCGTCCATTCAGTTCACTTCCGTCACCGAGTGTGATCAGAGAATGCAGTCACATTGGGGAATCTTAGCCTAGGAGTTGACGCAGGCACGCTTTGCATACACCCAAGTACGCTGCCGGCGGTGTTTTGCAATGACGACTGATATCAGTACTCTCGGCACCAATCACCGATCATGGACTTCCCTACGTCCACAGCCTGAGTTCCGGGTTTCAGACCGATGCACCGCCAGGCGCTCGACGGCGCTGTCTAGATCCCGGGTCACCGCCTCAACCCGTAGGTAGCCGAGTTTTTGGAAGGTGCTATTACGGGCCGCCTGTATCATTATGCATTTCCTCCGGCCTATGGCTCACGTACACGTATTCAATCGTACGAAACATTTCCGGCCAACCTAGCAGGCCCCTGCATCTTATAGAAGTCGATGCGAACAGTCCGGGCGTGATGAATGTCCTGATCATGACCGCCGGCGCGGACGCTCGAAGTAACTTAGGATCGCAGCTAGTGATATGCGAGTAGGATAAGCCGTGCTTCGCCCGGTACATAGTAGCCATCGAAACTTGTGATCATGACCCAATGTCGCAGGAGTCGGATGTACGAGTATTATTGTCTTTATCTGACGGCTGCGATGAGATTGATCGTTCCAGTTGGAGGCCGTTTCTTGAATTGTGGCTCTTGAGTTGGAGGAGCGAGCATGTAGCTCCTAGCTCCTGTGTCCGTTTCAGGCAACGAAGCAGAGGGTTTTCGCATGGCGTCCACGTGGTTACCGGCCTCCCTGACATCATCCAAGCCCGTTGTTGCCACCTGGTATCGCTCGGAAATTTCGGTCAGCCCTGGTACAGCCCAGCGGCCTTAACGAAGTCTTGATGTGCTACTAATTGGCGCGTCGCTTCGCTGATGCCTACACCACAGTCTATACCGCCGCCCATCAATGCATCTATACCAGCCATCGAAGTCGTTAAACGGAATGATCGCCACAGCAACACTCGCCGAGTCTTCGTTGGCCCTACGCCAGAGAGGGCGCTCACACAGCTGAGCGTGCGAAGTCAGCGGGCAAAGAAAGCGCGCAGCACCGGTGGATCGGAGTCGGATAGCGATGACGAGAGCCTCACGGACGCAATCAAGCACCACGCCTTTCAATTCTTCCTGGGTAAAGGCGGACGCGAGGAGGATTGGGATCAAGATGAGGAGCGTCATATACGTCAGGAGATGCTTCAGCGATGGAGGGAGAGCGAGTACTACACCAAGGTGTTCCGTCGCCGGAGGAACAAGGAGCCTGTACCGAAGTGGGTTGGAGGCAGCTTCGAAGTCGGAGACTTCTTAGGCGTCAATGTCATTCACGATCCTCCGCATACAAATTATCAGCATGACTCGCCTTCCGGAACAACTCACCAACCGTCGGGCTCTCGGCTCGAGCCTGATGCACATTCCCGTTCAAATTTCGGCCTCTCCACGGCAAACTTGGATGTCACCTCGGAGGGACGAAGTGGTCCTTCGACGAATGGTTTCCCTCCTAACAGGAATTTCGTCGAAGAACCACGGCCTCTCAGCGATTCCTCTAGTGCCCCTCTATTGCCTCGTCCTGGGCCCAGCGGGCGAGAAGTTGCAGTCCGCTTTGCCAGCGACGAACAGACTATCTCACAGGACACACATGTCAACGACACCGTCGCTCGTACTACGCTCCCTTCAGATGGGCCTCTACCACCATCTATCGTGCTCGGGCGTTCTGGTCCGGGTATATCAGCCACGAGCGCTGGGGCAGCCGAGCTGGCGACCGCCGAGAATGCAGTACCATGGGGGGAGGTTGTGATGCGTGGTGCGTATATGTTCTGACCCGTGGATAGAGCACTGACCCAGAACGTAGACAGAATGCTATGCCGAGTGCTCTATAGTAGGGAAGATGTGGGCACTAACTTCGACGAGGAGAAGAACTCTACGGCTCGGCATCTCACGCCTATCAAATGGGGCGAATGCCTGCTCGTTTGGCGTAAAGACCGACTCGAGATTTACGACGAATATGTATGTAGCTCACACTCGAACGAGTGGCTGCTTGGCCTAATATTCATCGCTCGTATAGAAGACTCCGCTGAAGGAGCGTTTGCTGGGACATAAGCGTCTCGCACACACTATACCGTTGGACCCTGCGAAGACAAAGTTGTCATGCTACTGCTTCGTCGACTTGACGTTCTGCCTCACTAGCGCTCCAAAGGGTAACCGCGGTGTTCACAAAGCTACCGGATTCCTGCATGGAGAGAAGGGTCTGAACGTCTACATATTCAAGGCGAGATGTCGAACGCGCGCCGCCGACTGGATGTGGCAGTTATGGTACACAGAAGTCGTCTCTAGCACGTTGCTGGTTTACTCACGTTGACTCGCCCATAGGCGGCAGCTGGGTGGTATCCTACCTCCCTTCCTGGAGGTGCGGATTCCCGTTATGGATACTCGATTGAAGATCGATATTCCGGAGCCGGAGGACTGGCAGCACATCAATGCATTGTTGACGAACGACAACGTCCTTGCTATGTGCACCGACGCCCTCAAGCACCTTCCGGACTGGGACGCCCTCGTCGAGGAGCCAATACGTGAAGGCGACGCTAGGCTTCATCTCGCCTGGCGCATGGACCTGGACATTGACTGGGTACAGGAGTACGACATCGAAGGGAAGCTGCGACCTTGGGCTGTAACCTGTGGTATCGCAATGAAACAGGTTCGCTCGGTTGTTATCCCATGTACCAGAACATGCTCATCCTTGATTAGGCCAAGAAGATGGCACACCTCGAATTGCGTCTGGGCCGCCATTTTCCGACACACCTTCACACTAAAGACGGAAGCCGGCTCGACGAACCTCCCTCTATCGAAGGCTACCTCGACCGCATACGCCCTAACACCCAAGCGAAGCATGCGGTCTATCTAGCGACACACGACGGCAACCTTTTCTCTCTCAACCCCTCTAATGCCGACCCTCCTCGCCCGCCAGGCATGCCTCCCTTCCTGGCTTCTCCGAGCTCGGCAAATCCCACACGATCGCCTCGCGAGCAGGAGGTTCTCAGGGGTGCACGCCAAATCCTCGATGCAGGTGGCGTGATCGACCTCAGAAACGTGTTGACAGTGCGGAGGGCGTTCCAACCTCATGCAGCGGCTCGGCACGACGAAACGCCTCCGAAGCACCTCGCCGGATGGGAGGAGCAGGAAGAGTCCGTCGAGACAGCAGAGAGGACACACAGCGACGACGAGGATGAAGGAGGGGAAGAGGCGCTCGCCAAATCGCCTGATAAACCTCGCATGAAGATGCGAAGGAGCTTCGAGCTGCTGCTGATGACCGGGCATGTGATCCGGTTTGAAGTGAGGGAGCGCCGTTCCCGACACACCGTACCTCCGAGCTGAACGTCCCGGGTTCTAGGCATACTCACGACGGGTGGCTTTGGAATGGATTGACCGCCTACGCACATTGGTCGCATACTGGAAGAAACGCCACCACATCGATGCCCGCGATGAGATGGACCTCGTGCAGGCTTCACATCCACGGTTAACTCCGCAAGTCCACGTCCACGGCGAGGACCCGGATGCGCCTCCGGAATTGCCACCTGATCCAGAGACGTCCGCGACAGCGTTGAGCTTCTTCTACAACCATTGCATCCTAGACGGGTGTCGGAGTATCCTCAAGGGCGGCAGGTTATATGTAAGAGAAGGCATGTGGGGCCAATATAAGTGAGTACTCAAAGGGTCTCATGCTATGGGATCGCCATTGAGCGGACTTTTCTAGATACGTCCAAGCCTTCCTGGTATCTGGGCATTTAGTCCAGTATCGCATCATGTCCCAAAGCTCGCTCCATCGTCGCCGGAAAAAGCACACCATTCATCTCCTTGATGCGTATGTTTGCTCAGGGGCCTTTGCTGCCCAGACGCTCCCGAACGGTCAGTACGACCCGAACGCGCCCCCCACACCCCGCCGATACCAAGACGGCCTCGAGGCCGACGATCGCGAAGAGGAAACCTTATTCATGGTCTGGTACAAGTCCCACAAGAACGTCATGGGCGTCATGCCCGGCACCACCCTCGGCGGCGACGATGCCGCTGCGAACGAGAACGCAGATCTAGAAAAGGCTACGTTGCCGGAACTGGACGTCAAAATGGCGAAGCGGAAGGTAGCTATCTTCCGGACGAGGAGCAGGCTGGAGCGGGACGTGTGGTGCTGGGCCATCAATTGCGAGATCGAGAAGGTCGTGAGGGCGAGCAAGGATAGGGAAGTCAGGGTTCGGGAGGATGGTGGGCTGGTGGAGCTTTAAGCATTCTCCATCACCATCCGGTCCGGTCGGTCGTTTTTGTACACAGTGGACTTGGTGCTGGACAGCGGATACCGCCTTGACGTTACATACCTTAATCACCCCCGCACTTGGTGTGACTTAAATAACACATGCCATTCCGTCACTATCTTGGACCGGCGATAAATGCAATTATTCAGGACATAAGGTTACAGTAAATGTGAAACGAGGGCAGCGCCGAGAACTATGATTTCGGCTTTTTCGCTGCAAGAGGAGCTTCAGTGAGTTGTCAGAAGCAGCAGCAACGCAACCATACCTCCGTATTTGCTACGGGCTGATCTCCTATTCACCACCCCGTTCAAATCTAATGTGCCACGCACGACCTTATACCTGTTATACCGTTGTAAGCCTTTGCAGTCAAAGCTTCGTACAGCACTTTCACGTACTTGACACCCGGCAAATCCTGTGCACGACCGCCTCTGACAAGCACCACACTATGCTCCTGTAGGTTATGGCCTTCACCACGAATGGACGCTGTGATACCCTTGCCCGTCACCAACTTGATCTTCGCGACCTTACGCTTGGCCGAGTTAGGCTTCTTCGGCTTCATCCACGTCACGGCGGACACCACACCCTTGTGAAATGGGTTGCCTTCCAATAGGGGAGACCTCGGGTTTCGTTTACGGTTCTTCTTGCCGATGGGCTTTTTGCGGCGCATGGCTTGGTTCATGGTCACCGACGCAGACGGTGTAGCGTGGAATGAGCGGGCCAGCAAGGAAAGAGGTAGCGCAGAAGGTTGACGTGGCTGAATCCTTAGTGGACGTATCGACGGCTGCCATGTTGGCGCCGCCGTACGGGCTAGTGAGCGCAATGCGCCGAACATCGTACGCCGGGTGCAGCAACAGCGGACTCCGACTCGACACCCGGGGATAGTGAGAAGTGGCGTGGGAGCGAGAAGAGAGCGCGGCTGCGACGATCGTCGATGTCGACGACAACGACAACGACGTTGCTGAGTGACTACTCGCACAACAAATCAAGGTATTGCCCGCGTGTCAACATGGCAATAACCTTGATACAACTTGGTCTCTATTATCCGGCTCGCAGACCTCAACGATTGGGCGAGCATGTCGCTTAACTCGCTCCCAAATGAATTGCTCGCGGAGGTCCTTGGGCATGTGTCCTTCAGGGATATATGCAGAATTGCTCGTGTAACATACTTCCCCGCGTTAAATCCCGGTAACTCGGATCTCATGTCTCCGCTAGATCTGTCGCAGGTTTCAGGCTGTCATCGAAGAAAGCACGGAGATGCAGTATATATTGGAGCTTGGACGCGCAGGCATGATTGACATCAACACTCAAGCCTGTCTCGGCGCTCGTGAACGGCTGAAAGCTCTCATACGGCAGCGTTCAGCCTGGGAGAAAGGGGAATGGATAGAACTCGTGACGATTCCGCAGCCGACGCAACTTCGGATGATAAACTGCTATGACTTCGTCGGAGGACTGTACGCAAGCTCTTGGTGGTCCGGATCCACCAACGGCCACGACCTCCTGCATATCGCACGCTTGCCCAGTCTTTCAGCTATGACAGCCCCCCAACAACCTCTTTACATTGGAAGAGTAGACGCGCGTAGGGCGGCTTTCGGCATTGATCCTAGCCAGAATCTTATAGCGTTTTCGGAACGTTCTTTCTCGGAAACTCAAGAGTACGTTGCTTGTCTGTCACAAAGGGCCTAATAGCTGAACACACGAACTGCAGTAGCATGACGACTACTATTTACCTCAATTCCATCAGTGACGGTTTTGTCCACCCGGCGGCAGCCAATCCGACCCTGACATATTGCTTTCCGACGTCATATGGTGATCAGGTACCCGTCTACCTGCATGACGACATGCTTGCCGTCCGTTGTACCTATCCTCCACTTGATCGGCTGGTCATCTGGTGCTGGAAGACAGGCAAGATTGTAGTTGTACGTGACCACTCAGCTCGTCTTGCTCGTCGATATGTTGAACAGCTAACGACCACTAGGACACGGATCTGACACTTGGATCGAAGTTCGCCTTCGTTACGAACCGTTGCTTTTTCCTTACCATGCAGGGGAATCCTGGGTCGATCGTCCTTTTTTCTTTCTCAGATTCGGAGTGTTTATCAGAACTATCCGATGGTCTCATCGCTCAGCTTGATTTCCCTCAGCTTCAGGATGGGTATACGGCTAGCTTCGATGTTCCCGAGGTTCCCCAGGCTTGTGGTCCTACTGGCTATGGAAACTGGAAGGCCGATCCGGAAGCTAGAGTCTTCCTCTTCGTCGCAACAATATGGGACCGCGAGGGGAGGCCATCCGTGATGCGTTACTTCTACTTCGTGCATCATCGCACACTCCGTTCATATTTGTACCGATATCACCGTCAGCCGGGACTTAGAGCGTGGGATCCTATTGTTCCTTGGGAAGACTGGGGGCCGCAAGGGGCCCGATTACTGAAACAAGTCAGCGCAAGCTGGCAAGTTGATCATCTATTCAGGTATGGCCTCTTCGTTATTTGCAGGAACAAGCTTGTGAAACAACCGGACAGGCCTATTTATGGCGAACGAGTCGTGTTGCCGGCGACTTGGACAAATGGCGAGGATGGCGCTGAGGATCAGCCGCCTTGGGATGCAACAGCTCTCTGCGTCATCGACTTCAACGTCTTCCAAGTGCGAAGGTCGCTTGCGCAACGTGGATATGACATCCCCGATACGGGCTCCCACGTTGTTGAAGTCTCTGAGCCGACCACCATGCCACCTGAGGACGTTTTCGAGTCAGCGGTAACCACTTCCCTGCCATATCGCATTACACGCGGTACGTTGCCCATCGAGCAGGTGGACACGGTGATGGTGGAACAGGACTGTCTGGCGGTGCTACATATGGTTGGCCATCCGGTGTTTGTGTTATCGTCTTCGCTGACGCCTGAGCAGACTGTCAAAGAAGGACGCGCACATAAAGTGCTACGAGTGTTCGCAGTTTGACCGTGTTCAGTCAACGCCTTAGGCGGCTTGTGCTCTGTGCTTGTGCCCTATTTCGTTATATTGCCTTCATTCACGAGCTACCGCAGCGATGGCCTCGAACAGCCGTGAGCGATATGGTCCGTATATCCCGTCTGCAGTAAATATGATGTATATGCAGATGAGCAGTGTTACAAGAATAAAATGCGACGACAACACAGAGCAAGCGCAAAAGCAAGAGTTGAGCATCCAGCGACAACGAATATTCCGTCCAGAATTTGGTAGCACATTGTGATTATATCGGCAAATTCTCCTTCTCGTCGAGGATGTCTGATCGGCACTTGTCGCTGCTTGGACCCAACAGCGCTTGTTCCACCTCGAAGCTGTCTTCCCCGTCGCCGCCGAATGAGAGGTCCCAACGAGGGTCCTCGTGCAATAGGCTGGGTCCGTCCGCCATGGCCATGCTTTGGCCCGTCATGTCAATCTTGATGGGCGAGTCATTGGCGTCAACTTCTTCTATGCCGCCGAGGCCTAGACCTAATCGTCCACCTCGACCGTTTTGCCTCTCCGCGAACGCCCTGGCAGCGCCACCAGGGGTGGGCTTCGGTGGCTTGAGTTTCGACGGCACAGACGGCTGCGAAAGGCCCAGTCCTCCCAAGCCAAGGGCGTCAAACTTCGTCACGAAGGCTTGAAGCGCGGATCGTTCGTTCTCCAGCTTGAGCCTCATCTATCCTTCCTCGTCAGCAATGATCTACTGGAACGCGCAGATAACATCACCTTCTTCTCTTTGTCCAGCTGCTTGATCAGTTCTTCTGCCCAAGCTTCCTTCTCTTCGCGTTTCCTAGTCTCCCTCTCCAGCTTCGCACTCCACTCTCGCTCGACGTCTTCGCGCACTTGACGCAGTGGTTCGCCAAGATTGCTCTCGTACCCGCGGACAACGATCTCAAGCTCCTTGATCGTCTTGGCCTGATCAACGATCAACTTGTCCTTCTCGCTCTCCGGAGCGTCGGCGGGCAAGGGCGGCCGTGCCATGAGTGCAGCCTCAAGGGAAAGGATCTGTGTCGCCTGGGTCTCGAGTTCTCGTCTCGCAGACAGAAGTTCTTGTTGCAACTGCCAGCGCAACGTTATTGGAAGGGCGATGGAAATGCAAGTTGCGCACGAACCTGATATGGTGACATGTCGAAGTCAACCTTAGTCGGACTTGCGGGGCGCGACTTGTCGCCCTGCGTCTCATCGACGGTCTGACTAGTCAAGATCAACTTGGTCAGCTGCTTGATGCGTGCGTTAAGATCCCTCATGGCTTTGGACTCGTCGTGTTGCTATGACACGTTGTTTAGCATTCAAATAAACGTTGTCTCGCAAGTCACCTACCTCTTGGGCAGAGAGACGACGAGATTTGACGGGAGCTTCCCGCTCTCTGTCAGACAGCCTGCGCTTGAGGTCCTCGATCTCCAGTCGGTATCGCTCGATAAGGGCGTCAGTATCCACTACTTCATTCTTCTTGGCGCTCAGCACGACCTTCTTGATTCGCTGAGCGAACAGGAGCGTGTTTGTCGTTTCGGGGACGTGAGTCGCGTCTGGTGATAACGTGCAGATGACGGATATACGTGCATCACCAGATAAAGATGGCTGGAGCAGTCGGGTGAGCTTCGAGTTCCGGAACGGTACGTAGTCACTGGACATGTAGTTTGTCAACTAAATACCGGTCAGAGGGAGGAATAGCGCTCACGATTTCCCCTTGGCGGCGTTGTCAGCGAGAGTCGATATAACAGATCCGAGTGTCAAGAGACTGCGTGAATTGTCAGTGCTATGACGGGTCCCTGTAGATGGGGACTGACCTGGTGTTGATGTACTTGCCTTCTCTTGTACGATCTTTGTCCGAGGTGGCTTTCTCCGAGCCAGCCAAATCGATGAGGCTCTATAACAGCGTTCGCATTAGTCCAGTCTGATAAAGTGGTCCAACTTATCCTGACCAATGTACTTGTTTGTACGCTCCTTCCTCCTATTGCTTGCAACCGTGGTCCGCCTGGAGTTGGGGGACAGGGACCAGGTGTCTGCCTGCCACTGGTTGAACTTGAATTGAGACCCTCGCCACGTTCGCGGCTCTCGATTACTACCCGGAAGACAGAGTGACTCCGGCTACTCCGTTCATTCCAGTCCGTTGTTGCAGTTCGGCGGTTGCCTTCTCCACGCTTGATGACCTCCCGCATCTCCTTCAGACTAGTGACCACTTCCTCCCGGAGCGGGGCAAGCCAGATGTTGGCCCCGGTACCCTGTATCTGTACCTGGGAAGGTGACGAAGGCGGAGCGAGCAGATCATGGATGGCCTCATTGTAAATCTCGAGGTAAGAGCACCGAAGCAGGTATTCGCGAGTTGGGGTGCGACGGATGAAGGCGAAGATGTCCTTCATGGCGCGTGGGATGATACCAGGTTCATCGTCGTTCCCGCTCAAAGTGAAGGTTTTCCCGGACGCTGTCTGACCGTACGCGAAGACCACGGAATTGAAGCCTTCCATAGCCGCGTGCACATGTGAGCGCGCGACCGCGTTGTACACCGGTTTGTTGGCAGAGCCTTGTAGGATCTCGTCGAAGTGGAATTCAGGGGGGGATGATGATGATGATTTGACGTGCTGTGGTAGTAGCTTGATGGACTTGGCCTGGGTTGAGGTGCCTGGGGTTGCGGTCCAGGCTGAAGCGCCAGAAGTTGGTCGAATGCTGAGGTCATATTAGCGTTACATTAACGAACAAACGAGATAATCTTACCGAACGGAGACAAGTACTTTGTCCTTGCTACCATGGTCGGCGGCAGGTAACTGCGACTCGTCGATTTCGGCAGATATATCGCCTGGCTCAAGGCTTTCAAAGTCGACTAGCGCTGCTTCTGGATCCACTCTACTAACATCCATGGCGCTCACTGGGCGCAGCAGTGGGCTGTCTGTTTCTCTGGACCTTGGAGTAGTAGGCGTCTTCGGACGAGGTGAAGCCGACCCATGACGGGGTCGCGATGGCGTTCCCGGTGCAAGAGACAGAGGCTGAACGCAGCAATATGTTCAGCAACTCTCGATTTCCCCGGGGCAAAGACCGTTTACCCTCGGCTTTGCGTTTAGGCGTGTCCTTGACTCTGACGAAACTGCAGCCTTGTATTTCTTGGCCGACCCGAGTACGCTTGACGGCCTCGACGCATTATCCGTCGAGTTGGAAGCAGACAAAGGTCGCTTGATAGGCGTTGCCAACGTGCGGTTAGGCTTCATCGTCGTTGAGGGTGGCCTGGGTGTGCGGGTCCTTCCCACGGTTGGCCAGAGTTAGACGCGTTCTGGTCACGTGGACGCGTTGCTGGATATATAAGCGGGCATTTTTCTCCCTTCGCCTGTTTCTTCCAGAGGGCTGCCACGCTGCGCTGGTTCAACTCGAGACTATCGCAGTGCCAGGACTCATCGAGTCTTACGCCCCCGAGAGCACTGTCAGGCTAGGAAGTGTCCCGGCTAGTTCACGCCGTGGCATGTCGATTTTTTCCTGCGACATCTGACGAGTAGAAGGGGATTGCTTCTGTGAGTCGCTCATTCATACTCTTTGCTTGATTGTTTGTCGATGAGGGTTTCCAAACCTGATTTAATGAGCCTGACGCCGACTAGACATCGGCTGCTTGATGCTACCTTTTCGTTTTCGCTGAGGCTTCTACACACGCCCTTGTACTGGTAGCGAAGTGCTGATGACCTGCCTTAACAGTTTTCTTGCGCATATAAAGTGCTGAATCGCATGTCAACCTGTACATACATGTCATTTACGATGCATACCTTGCTCTCGAATGAACACCGACGCGATGTCTGATTAGTCCATGTATGTACCATCGCGGAGCTTCGAATCAGAAACAGTCTTGCCCCTAGACTCAGCTTTCCATGTCGTTTGGACCCTGCAGTGTCCCGTACTCGTGTCTGTCAGGTAGTGGACGGCTTAACAGCCTTCTTCAGGAAACCATATGGGAATGCTCCTGGTACCCAAATGTTATCGGCGCCTATTGCGTTACCCTCGCTCCCTCTTCCTCCTCCCTCGCCGCCCCACGTTTCATGTTGTCGATGTCCTCTGACGAGAATCGAAGTGCGTCTGACCCTGCGCATCCGCTGTCCGACGTACCTGCTCATGAACATACAGAGTGCTATCCGAATCGAATGTGGAACTGATAGCTCTCGCGTGGGTACTCCCGTGCCGAGCTCGGCGCATCGCCTTTAGCGGAAGGGTTAGCTTACCTTCACTGCGAGGACATTGTTCATGGGGATCTATGTGCGGTATCGGTTCTCATAAAACACATCTCTCCCGCATGAAGGCTAATGTACTCATACTTGACAAATATAAAGCAAGCATATCCGACTTCGGACACACTATCGTATCCACAGTGACAATTGCGGTCACCGTTAGCAACACCACCGCGCGATGCTTTGGAATTCTTAGACGGAACGGAATTCATCCGAACAGGCACAGCGATGTTTTCGCTTGCCGTCGTGTATGTTTGTATCAATCACCGTGATCAACTATCAGTCTTCATGGATATACCACAGGCATATAGTGTGAGGCCTCCTTCTTATCAGACCTCCAAAGATTTCGCTGTCTTAGGTCTCATTCTCCAAGGCCAAGACATAGTACGTCCGTCGCCAGACGACCATCCTGGACCTGGTGAGGATATATGGACTCTAATGGAACGTTGCTGGCTCTCGCATCCTTCCCTTGAGATCCTCTGTTTCTGACATTTTATCCGAACTTAACAATCTCTGCACGCCCTGTCATGGACTTCATGTCTCTCCTGCCGGCAAGGACGATCGCGCACGCGGATTGCCCTTGCAACAGTCCCTATTCGTCAATATGCAATCTCCAACGCCAATACCAAGTAGGTATCCGAAGAGTGTTGCCCTCCATTGCATGTTACCTTACCACACTACATTCTTGTCTCATATTTATGCATTACTTTCCGTGCAGCTACCCGGGGTGATTCCATAATGTATAGTCGGCAAACTCACCTGCGTTGCAGGTGAACTTTTACCTCATATTCGGACTGGGGCTGCCAGCATGAGGGTGAAATAGTTAATCCTTCAGGTGAATTTTACCTGTCGGGAAGAACAATTTCACCTGGGGAGGGTTTTTTTTGCCCACCTGAGCATCAGGCGAATGCACAGGTGCAGGTCACCTGTCCTGAACGCCATATGCACGTGGGGGTATGGCGCGCCATGGGCGCGCCGGTCCGACTCCCCATTTGACCGTTTGACCAGGCTGGAGAGGAATACTCTCCGATCTATACTAAAGGTAGGCGGCTACCGGGAGCCCGCAAAAAGAGCATTCATGGGTGTATTACAGGAGCTGAACCGGCCCTCATCCACTACAAAAAATGGGAGATGGACCGGTGTCGGATCTCAGCCGGTCAGATACTTTGGTAGTGTATCATTGTATGAACGCCGTCCATTGTGGAGTGCATGGCGGTTTTGGTCAGGGACGTTTCTAGGATTCATTTCTGGTTGTAGACGTGCGGATGGGTGCAATTAAGGCATTTAACGTACTATCACATCACGGCAGTTACAGTGCACTGGTAGTAATATATCAAGTAACAAGAACAGTCACCGATTTGATGTTGAGCAAATCTGGGAAGAACCGTTCTGCTTGATCCACATATTCGTTTTAAACTCAACCATAGAGATAGTCCCCTTCAGGTTGCCCTCGAAGGACATGAGCGATGACAGCTTGAAGTCCGGTGAGTTTGGTTGAACCTCGGACATGTTGCGCCCGTCATAAATCGGTACTGTTATACAGTAATTAACATAGAGAATTAGAACACCGAATGCATGGCAGGAGACTCACTCATGTCGCCGTACTCCAGGAACGTAGAACTGTTGTTCCTTTACAGTTGAGCAAATCGAGATCCACGGGCCACAGCTCTTGTTGACCGGAGGAGATTCACTCCCACCAGGGCGAGTGTTGAACTCGACGGTGCCGTCGTAGATTGGAAGAGTGACTGTCCCGGAGGCATTAGCATTGTATGGAGACCATGAGAATTGCTCACGGTGATTTTTGTTTCCTGGATCGTATATCTCACCGAGCAAAGCCATGAAGCAGTTGAATTCAAAAGACAGGTCTATTCCTTTAACACCCCGAATGGAAAACCCTGACTGACCCATTGATCGGCCGACATTTCCGACATATTAGGGACAATACTCCAAAATAGCGCGGGAGTCCCTGTTGACGATTTTAGCCTTTGCCTTCAGTGACGGCGGTGATAAACGGGGGCAGAGTTTGGACATCGCCACATGTTACGAAACATCACGCTCGAATCACGATTCAATCACGTTTTGGCGGTAGTCACAGTGTGGTCACAGAGAGTCACAATCTTCCAGGAGATCGCCAAATCCCACCTGTTAACCAACTCCAACCTCCGCAAGCTCCGGGGGAGTCGGAACGGCCACGGGCGGCCCTGGGATGACTTTGCTATCACCGGGGGGAGTACATCGACACCGGTCCTCATGTCCACGTAGCAATAGCATGGATAAGCACAGTCAATACATAACTGGCAGTAGCTGGAATGCCTTAGGCAATGGTGTCTGCGGTACGTCGTTCAGTAGCGTGTACTTTTCACGCATCACCGATTCTTCTTTGGCTTTCCGGCCTTTGTGGTGGTCGGCTCCCGACCTGGAGGATGTTTCTTGCCTGCTGACAAGGCCCGTGCAGTGCCAGAAGCACCCGCGCCGGCTGTTTGTCTGATTTTGCGTGGTCGCGCAGATTCGCCAACACGCTGTCTACCGTATATTTCTTGTCGATCATTCTGAAGAGTTATGTCGCATGAGATGGGGTTCTGTGGCTGCATCATAGCGCGTACCTTTGCGCCAATCATCAACTCGTCCTCGTCGTCTTCGACGGTAAGTCGCTTGAGTCGGCGGCTTGCGGAAGGCACCCTAGCATCCTCATCGGAAGGGTCGTCAAGATCATCGTTCGTGTACGCGTCGTCGTACGAGATCACGCGGCGTGCGCTCTCCCGACGTGGCCGTTTCTTCCCCCGCTCCGGCTGCTGGCTTGGCTCATCGGCGTCTGATTCAGCGGCGGAGTGTGAGCCTGACTGAGAACGGAGGGCACCGCGGCTGGCGCTCTCGTCGTCTTCATCCTTTACAGGCACTTCGATAACTGCATGTACGCGTCGGATCAATCGAGACTCCCCGGGCTGCATGGAGTGTTGCAGGCTCTGCGCGGCAGAAGCGCTGGATGCTTGCGGCCGGGGTGCCTTCGCGTAAGTTCGCTGTTGTGGTGTTGATGAGAGTCAGCATGGATCTGCCGCGAAGACGACTGGCTTGCCTGCTCGCCAGGGTGCCAAACGATGTCATAGGCTACCATGGTCGGGCTCCGCGGTTGTTCAGTATCTTCGTCGTAGGTAGACACATGTGCTGAGGTGCGTCGTGTAGTTGTTGACGCTTTGGAGCTTGGTTGGGACGACCTGGAAGATGCAGCCTTGGCTGGGGTTGCATACGCACGAGCCTGAGGAGCCATGAATATCCGGAAGACCTGCCTCTGATGGCGGACTGGTAGCGCACCCTATGTTCTGCGAGCAGTGCATCATGCTTTGAGGCCAGTTCGTGGCGTTCTTGTTCGAGCTGACGACATTGCTCCCTCCAATGCTCGGCGTCCATGCGCAGCTGCGAAACCGTCTCCTTGAAGGTTTGCTGCAAGCTCGTACACTGTTCCTTCCATCGTTCGGACTCACGTTCGAGCTGAGATATCGTCTCAACATGTTGGTTGATCTGTCTCGGCAACGCTCAGTATCAGTATCGCTGAACCATAGGAGTTGCACGCACAACGAGCTCGCGTCTATCTGCCTGCGCTTTCCACCTATCCGCGGTCGCAGTCCATTCGTCCACCGCTTGCTTCCACGTCTGAGCCTGTTGTTTGGATGCGTGTAACGCTTTCGTCGCGTCGTCGCGCTCCTTCCGTAAATTGTGAGCCTCGGCTGTGATCTGGGTGTGTTCATGTGTGAGAGACGCAAGCGCCTGATCTGCCTCTTCTGAGAGCTGTAGATTCTTGAGTCCGAGACCTTATGAGTCTATAGAGGCCTTACTGACAGCAAGAGTTGCCCTTAGTTGTACGGTTAGTGGTGAGACTGTGGTTGCGAGCATGGTCTGGTGGTAGGGTGGTGGTGGACGTCACTGGAGACGCGTCTTGACCGCAGCCATGACCGCGTCGGATCCAACTTCGCCCACTCTTCAGCCATGTTTATGCTCTCTTATGGCATCACACTGTCCAGTCTTTACCGAGCTCTCAGATTGCACACGGAGAATGCATGTCTGCTAGGAGGCGGTACCGTTGAATGTTTTTGCCTGTTGCGAAGTCACTAGTGACCCGCCGCGTCACTTCCTCGCTTGCTTCCGGGGTCGTCCAACGCTCGCTGCAATTCAGATCTTCTTTGTCTCCATCTCTGGTGGGATGTTCATTGAAACCTCCCTCGGAACCTTTGACCTGATTCGGTTTGACGGAGTGGATCGAATACCGCGTGCGCCTTGCCAACACCGGTTGCAGGAGCCTAGCGTGCTACGACATCCATACATCACAAGTTCCACTCCTTGCTCATGATATACTGTAGAGGGATACCCTCGGTGCCGAAACCCTGCTGTAAGAACAGAAATCGGCAGGAACATTGTCGGTTTGCAGGGACATTTATATTCGTATTCCTAGTATCATCACTGGATGACAGCGAACGAGGCTCGAGGTTCTCCAGGTCGATCCAGGATACCCCTGCACAGAACGTCCGGGCCCAGGCATTCGATACCACCCGTCGGCTCCTTCCGACTTTGGCACTGTGCTTGAACCCGCTTCTACCCCTTTCGCCCCCTTATCTTCGGGATGTCTTCGAATTCAACATCGAAGAGGCGTATGCTCTTCCCTCGGTGAACCAGGAACACGCGGTAGAGATGGAGGAAGCAATGCCGAGTTTGTCAACGACAGCGACGTAGGAGTCCTACTGTCTGCGAACACTACGGCATGGGGCGCTCAATATCCGGCACAAGATACCTCCAATTAGCTTGAGCTTTACATAGATGGTGTGGTATCTAGTTTGCAGCCCGTCTTGCATGGCAACATGAGCGTGAATGCGATTTCGCTCGATCTCCGTGAAATGGAAGCATGTGTCCACCTGAGGCGGATGTAAATTTGAAAGGCAAACGGCCGACCCAGCTGATTGCTATCGCCTCCGTTCAACTTCCCAAATTTCCTGCAATAGGCTTGCGATGCAAGGGTCTCCACATGTTCAGTAGGCTTTGCTCTGATGAGGCTCGTCCGGCAAGGTTTTCGCCGACAGCCCGAGATACCCAGTTTTCCCAGCCAGGATCGTTCTTTAACGCGAACCACCATCGCCAATTCTCGAGCGTCATCTCTGTTCCGGCAGTTCTGTGCTAAATTGAGCCCTACTAATCTCACTCGCGTTCTAACCCTCGTCGGTGCCGTGCATATGATTGGTTGAAGAGCCTAGCGACTGCCGCACAATATGTCGAGCAGTCCAGTCCGCGCTATCCGGCTGCTTCTCAGATCTCACCAGTTTCCCGACCTTGCCTTCCCAATGTCGACAGTGGTCCTGTGCCAGCAAAGTCTTATCAATGCTGAGTTAGCATCCTGACCACCCCGTCCATACATGGCGATGATTTCTCTTATCGCAGAAAGCTCGGAGCCAGGTGCTCTTTCCGTGCTAGAACTTTGCTCTCTCATGGGTGACTTCGCGCGGCAAGCAAAATCCTGCATTACGCTCGCTCTTGTCGCCCCGAGACAGCGTCGGTCGATGCCGCAACGCATACGTGTCGGAAGTCACACGGCGTTTCGGGGCCCTCTGCGCCCTTCGCCGGCGTACTACGCTCATGTGTCGCCATGCCTTCTTGACAATCTAGCCCGCTCAGTCCTTCCATTTACATCGAGCTGGCTGGACGCGCACGGGAGAACAAATCGGTCGTCCATGCGGACCTGAGCTACATCGGGTTGTTCACTACGGGTCGACGCCCAAACACCACGCCGGCCACCGTTTTCGGGATCGGAAAGTGGGAATGTTATTGTTGCGTCGTTCAGTTTCCCGAGTATAAAACGAGGAGGTCGATTCAGGTTGTCCCAGCGAGACCCAGGGCTCGAACTCCTGCCGACGCAAGACACGATGCTCGCTGCACTGCGTTCTTCCTTGTCCGCGCTTTTGGCAGTTTCGGTTCTCTTGACTTGTGGCGCATACGCTTCACCGGTCATCCCTGAGGGTCTCAGCCCAGCCGCTCGCGAGGTTCTCTCCCGTGCAAAACATGCGTCCAACAGCACCAATGCCGCTGCCGCTACGCCTGCCCCGCCTCACTGGGTCAGATTGTATATACGCCTTGCAGAATCATGTTCGCTGACGTCCTGACAGGTCGTCTACAGTGACAGGTTTGTATCTGGCGAGACAGGCCCTCCGGCACCATCGGTCGTCCAGGTATGCATCCAGCTTCTTATATTTCTGCCCCAGCATTGATGAGGCGTGCCAGGGCTTCAATGTCTTGTGAGTGCTATAGAAAATGCTCTCTTATCTCCTAAATTGCTCACGTGGAAATATAGTATTTTGTCCTTCCTTCTCACGGAGGGAGCGTTCGATAAGGCTGAAGAGTGGACTCAACTCACGGCGGCGGAGCGCACCAGCGTGAAAGCCGAGTATGCAGCTGCTGGGATCAAGCTTATGGTAATCCTCGATTGGTTATAGGCTCGTTCTTATTGCTGACCTCGTGACCTTGATCCAAAGGTCTCCGCCTTCGGCTCCACCGATGCGCCCACTTCTACCGGTGCTGATCCGGTCGGTGTTGCAAACACGTTCGCTGCATGGGTCAAGGAATTCGATCTCGACGGCATTGACGTGGACTACGAAGTATGCCCGACCTTGCTGTCTATCGTCGTCCTTACTGATTACTTGCTTTTCCTGCAGGATTTCAATGCGATAGATGCCGGGGACGGAAAGGCCGAGGCATGGTTGACAACTTTCACGACGCAGCTTCGGTCGCAACTCCCGTCCGGTTCTTTCATCATCACCCACGCGCGTGAGTTCCTACTGGCAAGCGCTTCTATGCCTGACTTACATACTTCCCAAACTGGTTACCAGCTGTTGCCCCGTGGTGAGCAATCCTGTTTTGGTGCATCGTTGCGTCTTCTTGATGGTTGCTAACGCCGAATCACATACGTAGGTTCTCGCCAGGTAAATTCGGTGGAGGAGCTTATCTGACCGTGGACAAAAATGTGGGAAGCTTGATTGACTGGGTAAGCTTTTCGAAGATACATCAAAGGGAGTCCGCTCATTGTCCTATCGATACAGTATAACGTCCAATTCTATAATCGTACGTTAGTCTTCCGGTGAAATATTCCGAGCTCACTGCTCCTTCGACAGAGGGTACAACCGAATATACAACGTGCTCCGGCCTCCTTACAACATCCTCGAGCACCTGGCCAAATTCGGCTTTGTTCCAAATCTCCGCTTCCGGGGTGCCCATCAACAAGCTTGTTATCGGAAAACCTGCTAACTCGGTACGCACCGTGCTCCGGTGTCGCAGCATCTTAGTATTAACATCATTTATTGCTGTTCAGGGTGATGCATCGAATGGTTTCATCGATCCGACGACGCTAGCGGGATGCCTTTCTCAAGCAAAAGCGAAAGGCTGGAGCGCAGGTGCCATGGTCTGGGAGGTAAGCCTTCGACAGTGGATGTTCCGGAAGCAGCAGTAGCTAACTTTGATTGATATCGCAGTTCCCGGATGCCGCCGCATCGTGGATCCAGACTGTACGCTCTCAATCCTTCCCAGAGTAAATTCGACCTTCAGATCTGCAGGAAATTCAGGTAAATTATGGGGTTGGGAGGGAACCGGGCGCGTCTTGTCCACATCTATGAATATTTGTATGAATAAATTATCTGTCAACTCGACAAACCACGTTGCAAATCTGCATCTGTACGTATACCCCAATAGAATCAAGTCAATCTTTGTGTGACTGCGTCTGCATCAGGTCATGAGCCGCAGCGTGGGACACGATCCATCGCCCCACTGCTCTCACACAGTGACAGTCGTAGATTGTGCTTTCTGACAGATACATTTTGGATACGCTCTGAGATGGTCCTACATTGGCGCTCGATCGATGTCCACAATCGGGATAGATCCTGACATATGGTCTGTGTTAACTGGTGAGCCTGAGCGGCCAACGTTAACGCTGCTTTTTCTACCCTCTTACACACGACCCTAGCAACGGACAGCACTGCAACAAATCGCACCGGAATAGGGCGAACGCTTGATCATTGGCTCTCTCGCGGCGGGAGGCGACTGGGCTCCACTATCAGCGCTCTGGTTGGAGGTCGGCCGGGCAGTGCTGGCACGAACGGTGACGAGTACGGGGTTGCAGGACCTTCTCCCACAGGATTGTTGCCTGCAGCTGGCCATGTCCTCGACGGGATCGACCCTGATGCATGGACTGTAGCAACCGGTTCTTACTTCCCATTGTTCACGGGTATAGCTGCGTCTGATAAGTGATGAGGAAGGCAGCAACAGCACGATCTCCGGGCTGCCAGGGGCTGGTAGAACCATCGATAACTTCCTCTCTCAAGGTGGACGTCCGCTCGAGGCGGTGGTCGGGTCTATGGCACATAAACTTGGTTTCGGACCTACCGCTCTGGTATCACGTTTGCTTGCTCCGTCGAACACGGATTTCGCCCAATGGACGCCCTGCGATGATGTGAGTTGCAAAGCCAGGAAGATCAACGCGCAAGAGGGTTTCCCCCGACTCACAAACTCGGAACTCTTCGAATCTTGCTGGGACCGTCTTCTGGACCACTTCCGTGGATTCCACTGCTTACGTTGTCGGGGGCAATATGCCCTTGTCATAACTTCATACAATAGCGCAAATGCCCGCTGGACTGATGTCAATGGGCTGCTCATGTAAGTACGAGTCAATCGATACTTCGAGTGTCTCACGGACGTTGGCTGTAGGAGTGACAACATCTCCGTCCGATTGCACGGTATATGGTACATCGCGGCCCTCAGCTGCTTCCACCCCGTGTTCGCCGACAAGTTCGTCGAGATAGGGTCCGCGCGAATTGTAGGAATGCTCGCGAAAGAACCGATCATGTCTGGGCGGAACGAACTTATCGTGATATCTGCGAGACAGGCTGCGCATTGCCTCTCTGCCACGCATCGTCGTGCTCTGGAGGCATTAGACAAGGTCACGATGGATATCAATGGCCCGTCCAAGAGACTGCCGCCAGCCCAAGAGATTCCAAACGAGTTACGAGAGCCGCTCGCAACTGCCATCCGGGGAGTTTTTGCGCACATGAAGTGAGTGATGCTTTCGGGGTACCCGTTATGACCGCTTATGGGTGAAGAGCGCCGGACGCGGTGCCGTTAGGCATGTACTTCGCAGGCAGAAGCGATTCCATGCGCTCTTTGTTCGAATACCCCGATACGGTGCCCTCAAAGGACGTCGTAGAAATGTTTTGGTTTCAACTGGGCACATCACAGAATCCGTTCGAGTGTCGTGGGCTTGTAGGAATCGTCACCAAATTCTACTCCGGAGGACAGGTCGATCCCCAGTACGCTTGGGACAACCTATGGATTCCGCTTTTTCGTGCAAGGTGGTAACGTCGATTGCGTATTCCAAGGGTGCCATGTCCGCTGACCGTGGACACAGGCTGTTATTTCCAGACGCGTTCATCCGTCATGGCCAGGAGTTGCACGAAGGCGTTGCGCTTGCATGCATACAATGGTTCGCCCCAAGGTACCGGCCTGCGCTATCCTTGAACCATCGCATCTCTCCTGAGCGCTGGTGGGAGCTGCGCTTGCTGCTGCAAGAGCACCGAATCGCGATGAATTGGAATTACGGCAAAGTGCTTCAGCCATCCGATAAAGGGGGAATGGACGATAGGACGGTGTTATCGCAGGTGTTGTGCTATGTCAAGAGCTCGCAGGTCGGGGTGTGGTGTCAGCGCGTGTTGTGGGAGGCATCCACAGCAGGAGATTCAGCGGGCCGGGGCAGCATCGAACATGCACTTGGCGAGTAGATTGCAGTTATACGCGATTTTAGTACAATAAGAGAGAACGAAGGTGCTGAAATACAACCAGAGAAAGCGGGATAAAGATACACGATACTAACGCGCCTACGCGGTCAGAGCTGGACTCTCCATCTTCCGCCGCTTTGCATCTTGCTCTGCATTCGATGCTTTCCCAGCAGCCTTCAACGGATTGGGTCGCTTTAAAGGGTTGACCGCAGCAGGTTTCGCAGCGGCTTTGAATGCGTTAAACTTGACGGGCGCTGGAGCAGTGACTGGAGCAGCGGGAGCCTGGGCCAGAGCGGGCGCTTTCAAGGACAAAGACAGCGTAACCTTCTCCTTCCCTTCCTCCCGCTTCAGCACTTTCTCCTCTTCTGGTATCTCCACGGATTTGGCGCGGCTAGGGCCCGCCTCAGCAGCCTCCTCCCGTGCACGCTCGATCTGTTCCTGGATGAGTAGCCGCTCGCGTTGCTCATCCGACATCGTCATGCGGTCCTTCTTCATCGACGCCTCCTGCTTCGCGAGTGCCTTCGGTGAGTTGTCGATCCAGGCGATGAACCAGCCTTTCTCTGTCTCGTCGACGCGCGCAATACCGGAGCGACCAAGGTGCTTGATGAACTCGGTCAGGGTCACCCAGCGGGTGGCGTTCATGTGCAAATGGTTCTTATCCTGGATGAATTCTTGGTAAACCGTGTTTGCCTTCACCCGCTTCGTGCCAAATCTACGGCAGGGAGAATGCGTGAGCGTATGGAAACAGGGGTAGCTAGAGACGGTTCACCTTCTCGAGAGCAGCTGAACGAAATCATATTGGAACTGTTGCGAAAAATCCGAGATGTGCCGGCCAGCGTTCTCGCCTACGACGAGCATCTGTCGTAGATGCGACTCGGACTGCGCATGACACTTGAAGCCGTTTTCATCCCGGCATTGTTTCTCGCAGACTTGGCAGTACCACCGCAAGCGCTGCAGCCCCTTGGACTTCATCTTGTTCGCCAAGTACTTTGGCGTTCCAACTGTATCAACGAGTCAGAATCAGGCAGTCATTGAGTGTATAGTCTGAATACCTTCAGCACGAGGCATGCTGGGCAGTCAAATGGGGAGTTCTGAGAGGAGAAGGAGGGGCAGCAGCGGTTCGTGACCAGAGTTGGAGGAGACAAGATCGCGGTCCTCCGCCTCCAGGAGGTGCAGTCTGACTAAGCCGTATCGCCACTATCTCCTCACGTGCCTCCAATCCGTCTCCGTCGGCCTTGAGCGTGCACGTCGAAATCGAGCATACTCATGTATTCATACTCGAAATAACTGCATGCCTATACGAACACATTACACCTCTGGGTCGATGCTATGGACGCGTCTTCCGGCACCTGATCATCGACCCGAGATGGGCTTGCACTCCGTCCACGACGGCTGCGCGAAGAAGACTCTGCCGCCGAAGTAACTCTCCTGGATCGCCACACCGGCATACGCTCGCATTTGTTCTTCATACCTGCCCACTCTCTTCTCAATCCCCGCCTCATCAGAATGTTTACCCGCGCCGAATAGATCCGTCAGAGCCTTGAGGAGGTTAGCGGCGTCGCGCAGGGCGGTGTTCGCGCCAGAGCCACCGGTAGGGCTCATTGGGTGAATGGCGTCGCCGATGACATAGGGAGAAGACGACCAAGGCTTCATGTTGTAGCCTGTCGCACTCGGACGACCAACGGGGCCCGGGGGAGCCGCAGCTGGAGTAGGGCCCGACGCTGTGGTGGAGAGCTCGGGGGGAACAGGCACGGCGCTGGTGATCCGCAAAGCGCTCGCGGCGCCTGGAAGCTGAAGCTCCACGAAGGGACGAAGAGACGGGTGCCAGTCCGAGGTGATGCGCAGCGTGAGCTCGGTCACTTCTTGCGGCGAGAGCGCGAGGAGCTCGGCGTCGAGCGCGTCGGGATCGTACGCGTCCGCATTGTACGAAGGCAGGTGTTTATGGACGTTGAGCGAGCGCGAGCCGAGCACCCAGTAAACGTAGTCGGGCACGGGCACGAGCCCCGCCCGCGCGAGGGCGGCGAGCTGCGTCTCGGAGCGCGAAAAGCGGATCATGTCCATGAAGAGCATTACCGGCGCCGCTGCGGGGTCGGCTGCAACCCGAGAGTGCGTGGCGGACCTCCTGGGCTGGGGGGATTGGTAGATAGGACCGTCATCCATTGGGTTGCTTCGGAGGGCACGCGCGCAAGGAGCTCAGGCGAGAAGAGGGTCTTTCCGTAGATGAAGCGGCCATCGGTATCGACCAGGCCGTGGATGTCTGCGGGGAGATGAAAGACGCGTACAGCGGAACGGACACCGTCCGCGCCGACGAGGAAGGTGCCGTTGGCGGTCGTGCCGTCGGAGAAGTCGGCGGTGACGCGAGCTGGGGAGGAAGGATCGACGGTATATTTGACGAAAGACTTCCCAAACTGGATCTGGTCGACCAACCCGCGCATGAGCACTTCGGGGTTGTGCCGGATGCGGTACCCCTGATGACGGAAGGTCGCGGAAGGATCGCGTTCGAAGATCGTGAACGGGATCCCGGCGACTTTGAAACCTTGGGCGAGAGCAAGGCCACCGAGGCCTGCTCCGATGATGAGGATATGGGGTGCAGAAGATGCGGACATCGTACGATCTGGTCTAGGTGTGTTAGTGTGCTCCTTCAATAGCAAAAGTTCTGGGATGAACGTACTCACGTTAGTGTCTTTCGCAAGCCGTGTTTGATGTTTATCTCCTGAACAGACGAGTGTAAGGTGGTTTATATACGTCAACGTGTATATTCTCGACCGAGACTAGTCCACTCCCGAGCATCCACGTCCTGCTACGTAGACGGACTCTGTGCCGAGGCTGTCGCCATTGGTCGGCAATTCCCTTCCTCGGTCAATCCAGTCCGTGTGCAAACAAGCGTTGTAGATCCCGAGGACGACGACGACACTCGATGGGTCACTTCACGGATTTAACGCGATGTTCAGCGCATGGCCGCCGACTCGCGCAGCCGCAGCTGAAGGCCCCGCAACGTCCGGGCAGCTGCGGGTGCATCGGGATCAAGCGTATGGATATCAACGGCGGCAAACCCTGGCAGTGCAATTGGCAGACCGGGTAGGTAGATAGGTGGAAGTCAGAATCAAGGAGGTACGCACGTGAACACTGAAGCTTACGAAAGGTGCCCAAATCACCCCGAAACGACGCGAGCAAATCTTGTCCTCGACGACGTCCTACTGCAGAGCTGGCGACGTTTAGCTTGACGTTTGAACCGTTCTAGCCGTGTTTCCTGACGGTGTCTTGTCTGATGGTGAGCCAAAGTTCTCCTTTTTAACCACATCGACATGATGTAGCAAAATTACTCTAATTTTCTCCAGGAATCTCACTGTCGAAACATTCCTTGCCTGATCTCTCCTTCGTTTTTGGTCCCGAGTGCAACCTGTTTACTGACGTCGAACCTTCTATGCTCTAGACATCCTTTAGCGTCATGGCTCACTCAATAATTCTCTTCGAGGTTATTGCTCGTATTCCCAATGTATAGCAATTGTGATAATTGTACAAAACGTTTCCTCGCCTATCGCACGACCACTCGGTACCCTGCAGCATCTTCGACGTCCCAAGTATTTCATGCAAGTGTTCTACCAGCTCGTGTGCCGCACCCACAAACGGGCAGCGCAGTGGTATGGCATGAATGTGAGATGCGGATCTGGCCATGAGGTGGTGCAATCCGCGATTTTGAGGAGCCCCGAAGACTCACGAGGCCAAATTGCGTCCGTGTGCGGAACGGAAGAAGGAAAACAATGCAATCCGTCAAGTAGCAAGCACTTCGCCGCCCTCGAGCAACGAACGCGCCCACGCCCCGTCTTGCATTAACCTGTCGCCGAAGAACTCGCCGAAGACTTCTCGTATCCGCGCGACGAAGGGTTCGTCAGTGGGGTCCACCGGCACCGGATTCTCCGAAGGTGGAGATAGGACTCTGAGCGCATCCTGTGTAGGGCAGAAGCGTCAGCGATAGCGAACAGCGATGGGGTAGTATGATGCCCTTGTTACTGACCATGACGGCCTCCGCCATTGGTGCTTCGTAGCCCTCCATACTCGTCGCGCATTCCGCGCCGACGACGCGCACGCCGCCGCCCTCAACCAAGCCCTTGCGCACGGCCTCCTTGCCGACGCCGACGAGTCCCCGGATCGCACCCTCGCGTGTGCCAGCACCCTTGTCCGGCGAGACGAGCGCGAGGAGAAGCGTCTTCATGATCCGCGGCGAGAGGGAGGGGTAGGTGGTAGAGTGCTGCGTGAGGAGGTGGGAGAGCGTAGAGGCGGCGGAGGTTCGGAGGTGCTTCGCGAGCGCAGGAGGGAGGCTGGAGTGCAGGAGGATGGAGAGGATCGGCGGGAGGAGTTGATGGAGCTGTTAATATACACAATGTGAGCAAACACGATGGTAACAAAGAAAAGACGAGCACGGCGCACATAGGGTTCGACGAACAGCGTCTGGTTGTCGAGCAGTGCGCCAATGACATCGAGCAGGACCTCGAGCACGCGCCCGTCGAGCACATTTTGTGCGCCGTCCTTGAGCGCGGCAACGACGCCCTCACCGACCCAGCGTACGAGGTAGGGCAGGAGCGCCTGGAGGCCCGCGTCGTGCCGGAGGCTGGCGAGCGCTGCGGCGCGCTTGGCGGCCTCCGCCTCGCCTTGGAGCGGCGGGAGGAGCGCGGACGTGAGCCGCGTGTAGTACAGCTGCAGCTCGCGCGAGAGGACCTGCTTGACGAGCTGCGGTTGCGGGCCGACGGCGGAGGGGAGCCCGGGCTGCTTCGTGTCCGTCGCGTTCTCGGTGGCGGCGTCGCGAGGTATGGGCACCGGCGGCGGGTTTTCGGGGATCGCTGGCTGGACGCCCTCGACGGCGAGCCAGTGCGCGGTCCAGCTGACGGGCTTGGGGAGCTGGATCTTCTCCTCGCGAAGGCCGCGGCCGAGGTTGTCGAAGTCGATCTCCTCGTCTTCGACGAAGTAGACGGAGGTGGATTGGGCTTGCGAGGGCGCATGGTGGTGGTTGGCGGCGCCGGGCTGGGACGGGAGGTAGACGGGCGGTGCACGGCGAAAGGCCAGCGGCGCGTGCGGCGAGTGGCCGTAGAGGGGCTCGATGTTGAGTACACGCAGAGCATTGTCGATGTCGGCCGTTGTGAGCGTCGTCCGCCGTCCATGGCGCATGAAGCGGGCAGCTTCCTAGTAGAATAACGTCAGCCCCGTAGGCTACAGTGAGGCCCAGAAGGAGAGACGGACCTCGATGACCTGGTGTAGCCTATATTCGACATCGCTCGCGAGCATAGACGCGATAGAGTCAGGGAGGGTGGTGATCCCGAGCGACTCTGCAACATCCTAGGTGGGCCCTTGTCAGTTGGAGATATCTGAGATCATCAAAAGACTCGCTTTGATGGAGTCTGGCTTGTAGACGCCCACGAACTGGGCCGTTTGTGAGCGCGCCTTGGGCTTGGACGAGGAGGAGGTCATGGTCAGGTGAGGACGCGTCGAGACGCGCGCAGACCGTGACGCGATTGGGCTTCGCTTTCGCTTTCACCACGCTCGATCCCTCCTAGTCTCACAGTTTTGCCTATATCACACTACAATAAGGGCTAGACGATACTGGTACTACTGCAATGTCTTCGGCGGGCAAGATCACCATCCGACCGCGCAGAAGCACCGCAGGGCCGTCCAAATTGCCCAGCGCTCAACCGAGCGCGACGCCCACACCCGACCCAGAGCCTGCAGACGCGCAAACCGACAACACCCCGGGAACGCCGTCTGAGCCCGCGATTGACGTCGACGGGTCTGATGCGGACGCAGAACTTGTTGCTGAGACGCCGGTGGTGCCGGTGAAGCGTGGACCGGGCAGGCCCCGCGGGTCGAGAGGGCGCGGGAGAGGGAGGGGTAAGGGGATCACGATCAAGTTGCCCGGAAGGCACCACGAGGCGGCGGGGGAGGACGGGGACGCGTCGAATGTGGAGGGAGGGGCGGCGGCGAGTCCGGCGCCGGATGCGGGTGGGGAGGCGGAGGAGCCTGTGGGGAGAGGCAAGCCGTTCAGGACGGTGAACGGTGTGGCATATATCATCGAGGGCGATGAGCTTCAAACCGAAGACGACCCGAAAGGTGACACGAAGATAGACGTGCACGGGAATTTACTCGGAGGTGAGTTTTACCCCCTGCCCCCTGCATTGTGTTTTACAGCACGGTGATTCTGACGTGGTGGGGTTGTCTTTATCGCAGGGAGAGAATTCCGAGCAGCGACGTTCAGGTTGCCAAACCGCGACCCCAACCGAATGTACATGCTCGCAATCGACGCCGCGCGCACATCCGGGTTCCGCGACTCGCTGTACTACTTTCGACGGAACCCGAAGGCGTATAAACTCAACGCGACGCAGGCGGAGAAAGACTACCTCATTGCCGAGGGCAAGCTCGGTGGGCATCTCAAGACGCGCAGCGTCACGCTCATCACCGCGCGAAGCGCGTACAAGCTGCACGGCGCGAAGATGATCAAAGGTCCGTCGTCTCTCGCTCCCGTTGATAGGATGTCCAGTGCTGATATTTGCGTTCGGGCTAACAGACGGCCGATGGGTCGTAGACGACTACTACGAGGACCAGGCGCTGGCAAGCATCACCGAGCAGGGTCTACGAGCAGGCGACCCCGTCGGCGAGCTGCCAGATCCGCGCGCGAACGCGAAGGCGGCGGCGGAGGCGGCCGACGCCGAAGCGGCGCAAGGCCCGCGCGGCACGGGCGGCGGGATGTATCGCGCCGGGGGCGCGACGACGCTCTTCGGTGGGAGCGGATGGGGCCCATTCAGCGAGGGCCCGCTGAACGCGGTTAAGAAGAGTTACTACGGCCGCGAGGGCCTGACGGAGGAGAACTGGATGTGGGTCGCGGCTGAGCGGACGCTGCGCGCGAACGCGGAGTGGCGCCGGCTCAGGGCGGACGGGCTGAAGGCGGTGGGCGGGATATTGGGAGATGTGGAGAAGGACAGGGACAGGGACAGGGACAGGGACAGGGAAGGAGGCGAGGGTGAGGGCGAGAGAGGGACGAAGCGGCGGAAGACCGAGTATGGGCAAGATCGGCTGCCGATGGGGATCTACGAGCCGCAAACGGGTGTGGTACTGTGTGAGTCGGGGTGTGCGCTTCTGACGCTGGGACAAAAGTTGACCTGCATCATCTTCTGCAGACCGGTCGGATACGCAGCCGACGCGGAGCAGGTGGGAAGCGCTCCCGGACGAGGGGGAGAAGCGGGCGGTATTGGGCGGGACGAAGGTCGGGAACGGCGCGTGGGCGCTGGCATGGGTAGACACCGTGATGGAGCTCCCGACGGACGACGAGCGCGATCCGGATGCCGACAAGCGCGCGGAGCTCCTCGAGTCCGTACGATGACAAAAATACCCAGAAAATGCGCGATATATTCGAGTGTAATTGCTATATATGACGTCAGCGCTAATTCAGCTTGGGACTGTGGCGGTGTCCGTCGCACTGCTTCCCGACAACGCCTCGGACTCTCGGCGACCGAGATCTCAGAGACAGCGCAGCTTGACACAAGCCTTGAGGTCGTCGTAAGGGCTCAACAGACTCTCAGTGTGTAGAAATGCCGCAGACATATGGCGCACACCTACCCGTATGGCATTGCACACGTTGTGCGCGTAACGATCTGACTTCCACGTAGGATCAAGTGGACCGCATCTCAGCTTTGTCGGATGCACAGATAGATCTTCTAGCAGACGTAACCTCGGCCGTCATCCTGCCTTAGCTCAAGCTCACGAACGTAACTTGTACAGATCCGGGACATATACACCCAACGCGTCGCCCTCGAGCGCGAGTACGCCGCGAAGCTGCAGGCGCTCTCGCGCAAGGCCGCCGAGCGGAAGAACCGCAAGATCGCCGCCCTCGTCGTCGGCGATGACCCGACCAAGGCCTGGGACTCGAGCACGATCCGCCAGAGCACGCTCGAACGCGCATATGCGCAGTTGCTCATGAGCATGGAGGAGAGCGCGGCGGACCACATCAACCTAGCGGACGGGCTACAGATCAAGGTGGCGGAGGCGCTGAAGGTGGAGGAGCGTCGACACGAGGAGCTGAAGAAGAAGGTAAGCACCATGCGTTTCCATTGTTATTGGAATACGAGAATTGACTGTCTGGTCGTAGCAAATCTTATTCTTCACCAAGCTGCTTGGCGAAAGGGAGAAGACGTATTTGGTCAGGATCAAGGTATGCGCAAGCATTGATTATCGCTCGTCAACACTTTTCTCAACTGGTGGCCTCTCTCTCGCGATCCCTCTCGTTTGCCGTGCTACGCACTGCAGAGCAAGCAAAAGGTGTGCCTGATCCGTCTCATCCCATCCCCCAAGCCAACCCCGATATGCAGTACGATGAAGAGTGCGAAGAGGTAGAGACTTACCGCCAGAAGCAAGAGCGCGCCTCGGACGACAAGCACGCCGACCGCGCCGCGCGTCAGTACGAGCAGCAGCAGAACGACATGAACATTGCCAAAAAGTAGGTGCGAAGCCCTTCTCCCTTGCCTCGCAATGCAGGACGCGAATGTTATCAGATACTGACAATGGTTCTCAACTTTGCAGCGTGTACCTGGTCGCGATCGACGTCGCGAACAAGGCGAAGCGCAAGTTCTACGACGAAGACTTGCCTGCTGTTGAGAACGTAAGTGTCTAACATTCCTTCTGCGTCTGGCGTGAACGGGTATCTGATCACTTAGTGGACAGCAATTCCGTGAGTTGTCTCGCAAATACATTCCGCAAGAATAGCATATCATACTTGCCGGACTAGAAACTCTACAGACACAGCTTGTAACAGGCCTGACCCTCATCCTCGGGCGCGCGCAGCTGTTGCACCATACGCATTCAGCTGCACTGGAGTCTCGCGCGAAGACGTTTCAAGAGGTCTTGTCTGCGGTGAACCCGGCCCAAGACCAAGATCTATTCATCGATTACAACATACGGTACGCGCCTCTCTGAGCTTCTCCGGCCGCTGTCGATCGCTTTTGCTGATTTTTTGGCAGCCCGTTCACGGCGCCTGGAGACTGGGCCTTTGAGCCATGCTCGACGCACTACGATACTGTTCGTGCGGTCCTGGATTATAACGCGCTGCTTGCGTGCTGAGAGCAGCTTTCTTGTGAATATCAGGGTGGGATCAACCTGGATCCATCGCCCAAGGTCTTCCTGCAGAACAAGCTGAGCCGATCACGCGCCAAGTTGGAGGAGCTAATGCCAGTTGTCGAAGCCAAACGTACGTATACGACATCCTGTGTCAACCTGGTGCACATGAAGCTCACTCAACCCCTCTGTGATCGCCGTCAGGTCGCGAGATTGCACTGCACGAGAAACGTATCGAGGCGCATAAGGAGAAAGTATCCCCGGAGGAGCTTGCCCGGGACTGGGATGCGAGTATTTGAGCCTTACGTTTGGACTACACGTTCGCTGACGGCCACGAATGTGCAGGCTTACTTCGAGGCGCAGCACGAGCTTGCGCTCTTGACTCACTCGGAGTGTGTTCTAAGAACGGAGATCGAAACCATATCTGCAGCTCTTGGAGGTAATGATCCCATAAAATCGGACTTGATCGTCAACTCACATTAGCATACTCGTATTGCTAGGCGACGAAGGTTCGAACCAACCGCACGCGTTCAAAGCCTCGTCGTTCTCAATCCCTACCCAATGCGCATACTGCAAGTCATCGATATGGGGCCTTAGCAAACAAGGCAAGACGTGCAAAGCCTGCGGTATCTCGGTGCACACGAAGTGCGAGCTTAAAGCAAGTGTTGCCTGTTCTCGCACATTGCTACGAGTGATCCTCATCATCTGTGACGTGATCGTGCGTAGGTACCTGCAGCGTGTGGTCTTGCGAGCGGGACGCACGCAGGCGGACAACTTCATCACAGTGCTTCGACCGCAACTGCCAGGACATCAACATCGTCCAGAAGCTCCCCGAGTGAGCAAAGTTTCTTTACCCGTAGCATGAGTATATCGCTAACAATCCTTTCCCTCAGGATCGTCTATCGATACGACGCCGACGCCATCCTCGTTTTTGCACTCCGAGTCGGCGTCGACGATCCAGGAATCGCATCCGAGAGCGAAGGTCCAGTTCGATTTCACTGCGAGCTCGCCGTTCGAGCTGAGTGTGGCGGAGGGTACCGACGTCGAGGTTCTGGAAGAGGACGATGGGTCAGGCTGGGTGAAAGTCGACGATAGGCGCGGCGGGAAGGGGCTAGTCCCTGCGTCGTACGTGGAGTACGTGGATGGCGCTGTGAGCGGACTACCGCCTACAGGACCTGGAGATCAAGCCGAATACGGTGCGCGTGTGTTCTGCTGATGCTGCGTGCTGTTGTTGAGACAGATGTTCAGTGCGGGCCATCTATGATTATGCTGCGCAAGGGGGAGATGAGATCGGGTTTCGGGAAGGGGAGACCATCAGGCTCAGCGATGGGCCTAGTGGCGGGCGCAACTATGCGGATGGATGGTGGGAAGGTGAGTTTAAATCATGACACTGCGTTGAAACAAACTCAGGATAGCCCCTTCAGGGTTTGATTCGGCGGGGAAGAAAGGGATATTCCCGAGTAATTACGTGAGTCGAGCTCTTTGAAAGTTTTATGTCAGACGTGCTGATGCTGGTTGTGGTGCCCAGGTTCAACCTGTCTGACCTCTACCCATGTCTTTCTGTGCGAACATTACTAGACATTTAGACGCATGCGGTGGCCGTCCTGCACTGACGACACAATACAGGATTTGAGAGTTTATCTGCGAATGGCCCATGAGAGATGGCTATCTTTGAACACGCTGCTGCGTTTCGCTGATAGGGTTCACCGGGGTTTCATCGAGCTTGAGAGTGATGTTACTGGATCCCAGGATAGTGATCTCGAATCACAGTTCGACTACGCAAAGTCATGTGCGCCGGACCCGGAATGCCTTGCAAGCCTAACTCGAGTCATCTCTCAAGCTGGTTGAGCGCTAGCACGGTCGGACATTACTGTCAGCTACGAAAGTGTCAACGTGCCGAGCTGCGGAAAGCTGTGGTACGTCTCAAAGGTTCCGAAGGACAGCGAGCTATACAGGATATGATAGCCTCCTCCTCAGTGATTGTTCCTCATAGGGTGCTGTAGGTCGATGAGTCGGGGTAGGTCCGAGAGACCAGGGGTGTCGTGTCCGGTCGGCGTCCGATGACGGAAACGCGACCGACGGGCGAGGGGAATCGCGGTGCCGGGAGACAGGGGGTTTCGAAGAGGGTTGACGCAGGAAGCTAGGTGGACGCGGACGCGGACGCAGACGCAGACGCAGACGGGGGCACAATGTAGAAGCAAGAGGGGGGTTGTAGGCTCAGAGGTATGTTTTCGCAGTGGGGGAGAAGGAAGCTAGGATTCGCTGGCTACTCAGTACATACAGTCGCATTATTTATACCTATCGCCCCCGGTGTTGTGGCCGTCGTCGTGCGCAATGCGCGCCCCCAACTCCTTCGTGGCCTTGACGCCTCGCAACGCGTCCGCTGGCCCGTTGTCTGCGTGTGGCG